AAAGTTAGTTTAGCGTTCAGGACATTGGACCTGCCACATTTTGTCTGTTGTCATTGACACACTGCAAAGAATGCCTGGCTGTAAGCCAGGAGCACTAGGTTCTAGTCTTGACTGCTGAGTAGTTATATAACACTGAGAAAACCTCAAGATTCTGAACTTCATTGTATCTTAGTTCTTCAATCTAAAAATACCCTGGTAATAATTTTCAAACCCAATTCATGGTGCTATATTAAGGGACAATAGAAGTGACAGACATGTTTTGAAAAATGCACACTTAATTCACTTCAATTTCAATTCAGTTGAGAGGAAAGTTACAAAAAGGGAAAATTAACACAACAATGACTAAAATGGGAACAGAAACAGACTAGAAATGTCCACCATTAATTTCAAAGCAAGGTTTTATTTTGCCTATCAATATGGCAAATCCTGAGTTAATCAAAGTGTCACACTGAACAAACATTTTTTCATAATCCTATAGGAGTATCATGGGTTCAGATTTTATCCACTTATCACAGTTTTTCTGGCCTACTTTAAAGACAGACATGGCTAATATGACTTGTATTGTAAAAATTCATCAGCTCTGCTCAGACAGAATGAGTTCTTTTCAGGAATAATACATAGACAACTAAATCCTTTAAGTTTAGGGTATAACACCAGGCATTCCATTTGAGACAAACTGAATACTGGCAGGAATGGGGATTGAATTTGATGAGAAAATAGGATTTTGATTTATTCACAGGACAGAACAGCAAGAAGACAATGTATTGACTTAAGAATTAAGAAATCAAACTGTGACACAAACTACAGACCACATAGCATAATATAGAAACTGTATACTTGAAGTCAGAGAACCCAGATATTAACTGAAGCATGAGTTAAACCAAAGATGTGTGTTCGTGTATGTGTGTGTGTGCATGTAATATATATATATATATATATATATATATATATATATATATATATTCCTAACGAACCAGAATGTCAAAATATTCCTGTATCCGAATCTCAACCAATGTTTCCGTTGCTAAAAGAATATCTTTGGCTTCCTTTTGCCTTTAAAAGAGGCAACATTTCTTGGAAATGGCTTATCTTCCACAACTTTTAGTTACTCAAATAAAAGTATAGGGATCCATCCACAAATTCCAGATCAAAGACAGACCAATACAAGAGAGAAACATGGTAGTATGGCCTGCATGTCCTAAAAAAAGAACAAAGATATTCCACCTCCATTCACCACTGTTATTCTTTGGATAAATGTATGTAACCTGCACACATCTCTTGCTAATAGCACAGAGAAGTCTTGACTTTTTAATGAAATTATTCTTTCTTCTTAAATCTGAAATATCTGTAAGAATTTTTAAAAATTTATTAGTACATGTGTGTAGTACAAAATGTTTACACTCATGGGGTAGGTATGTGTACCTAATATATCTTAATTTAAAAAATTCTCTTTGCATTCCCTTCCCTCCTTCTGTCTCTTAATCTTCTGTAAGAAGAAATTTATGCCAACTGAAAACCACACATTTTCCATAGTTCACTAATCTCCTTATCTGAGTCTGATCCTATAAGAGATACTTTATTAATCTGTGAATTGTAAATAACAATAGATTATTCTTATCCGTAGACTTGCAAATTGTCTTATACAAAGAGTATGTCAAATCTTTGAGGAGAAGAGAAATTTGCCATAACTGGCAAAACTGGCTAACTTCCTTAAAGAGATATCTCTTTCATATCCTTACCTTCCATTTGAGCTTGGAATGGTCCTGAGTGAGGTAGAGGTAAAGGGGTGATAATGGGCATGACAAACCCCAACCCTACCTAAGTTACTGTTTTAGCTGAGATTAGCATCTTCCCTATGGAATGTTCACTGAGGACATGCCTTGGACTTGGTTCTAATCAAATTATTATGGGATAAGCACAGTCATGTTATATGAATGATCCTACCATTCAGAAGCTATATCCAAGGTGAGCCTAAACTCACTGCTATGAATGTGTCTAGATTAGGGTTTGTTTAGCCACATTTATATTCATTATCTATCTATAATGAAGATCCCAATTCTTTCTACTGAGAATGTCACCCTAGGTTGGTGGTATGGAACAGGAGTTTTTGTGAATTTGGTTTCTGCAAAGTGAAGTCCCATCCCCACCCCAAGCTGAGTATTCTGTTTGCCTTGTAAGTCTGAATAAATTCTCATTGTCTTCCTCTAGCAAGGGAGTTCAGAAAAACAAGTGCGTAACTTGCCTGCCCAGGCCTGGATTTGGATCTATTATAGCTTTTCAATTTAACAAATAGTCATTGAGTCTTACTATGTCCCTGTTCTGTCTCTGTCCATGAGGCATATATTTTTTAGAAGGGAAGTCTATAGGCAACATACTGAAGATCAGTGTCTTGATGGGTGCTTAAACAGTATTTAATTTAAGTCGTTGTGTTCATATGTGCTGGGTAGCAAACTGAATAGTCTGCAGAGACACGCTATTCACTCCAGGTTGAAACCATCTGAGAATTTCAATAAAATTACATGGTAGTGTCTAAGAATAGGTCCACAAATTATCCAATATTTTTCTTGAAGGAGAATAGCCTAATTTATCTCCCTTCAAATGTAAGCTACACTTAAGGACTGCTTCTAATCATTAGAATAAAGCAGAAATGCCAACATTGACTACGGAGTCTAGATCATTAAAAAAAACCCTGCATTTTCTTTTTCACTGTTTTGAATCTATTGCTCAAATGGGAGATCCTGTCAACCTTCATTTTGATGGTGAATCATACAATCCAAGTTGAGCCTTTGGATGTTTCATTCTCTACCGAAATGTATCCTGCAATGATAGGAGAGAACTGTGCTAGGGCTACCCAGGCAAGCCACTATAGAATTCCTGTGTCACAGAAACTGAGAAAATGAAAGCTTATTTTAAGCTACAATGTCTTGGGGAGTAATTTATTCCACAGCAAAATATAAGCAATACAATTAGATGTCCCCTGAAATATTGCTGTTTTTAAAAACTGATCAGGTAAGAAATTGTTGCCATTCTTTTAAATATGGAGCAAATGTTTAAAAAATTATAAGTCTGTTGTTTGGAAACTGTTCAACTAATTTTATTCTCACTCCAAGTGTTAAAATCTGAATCACTGTAGTTTCATCAATATGAATTTTCTTAGACAGATTCATGTACTCTTCTGCACACTCGAATAATAGGTAATCAAAGCACATGCATTTTCATTCCTTCAGTAAACATTGCCTAAATGTCCACTGGGTCTCTAGCACTGTGGTTGGTGAAATAAGGTGAGTTTATGCATCTATTCTTTCAGAAACATTACTTAAGTACCTAGTACGGGCCAGGAACTGTGCACAGCACTGAGGATACAAAAATGAACCTTGCCCTTGAGGGGCTCAGTATTTAGCTGGGAAAGTAGACAAACACACAGTTTAAAACACAGTATGATGAATATAACCTCAGAGATATGAGTGGCATGCTATGATATTGCACAGAACAGAAAAACTCTATGAGGTCTTAAAGAATGAATGAGAGTTTTCAAGCAAACAGAAGGATGGCTTTATAGGTTGGGAAACGGGGTATGCAAAGACATAGAAATATGAAAATCTGGAATGTCTTGTCACACCTCAGTTTCCTTTGCCTGAGAATAAAGAGATAGCTGATGATATACTTCCTTTTCATAATGTGGGACAGGCAGGAGGAGCTGGTTTTCTACACACAGGCATTTCAAAGCCAACAAGCTGCTCAAATTGCCCCAAATTAAAGGGTTCTTATACTTTCCAAAGGCTCTCAGGCTAGAAGAATTCTCATGATGAACTCTGAGCCTTGGAAGCACAAATGTGAAAGTCTTTTGAACCACAAATTCTATAGTGTGAAGAATTCAAATTATCTGTGGGAGTCTACTAAGCTTCTGAACTTGGACTTCTGTGGCCTTTTACTGTTTTTTTAGTTTTAAACTTTTACTGAAATTCAGGTTTAGAATTTAACAATGTAATACAATATTATTTTGAGTATTTTCTAGTCAGTATTTTCACTTACTTTACATGATTGATGGGTATAAGTTTTAAGAACTGTTACTCTTTAATCTTCCTTGACCTTTTACTTTTAACAACATTTGTCATTGTTTTAAAAATGGAAGACATTTCCTTTTAGAGCAATGCCACTCAAACTGCAGGACCAAGACAAGATAAAGAGTTTCTGGCAGAGTGTAAATCAACACACTGCTGCATTCATCAATGAAATAATGCTCCGATGGAAAAAAAAACAGCTGATCTAAATGGTTTGCATAGTGGTATATTTAACTAACACTTGGCACAAGTTCTAATCTCATCATAGGCTGATAACAAACAGCTCATGTGTTGGCAATGATCCATAGACCACAATTTTTAGATTACTCACCAGTCACTAAAATTTTTATGATAAATCTCTACATGTTTTCAGAACCTAATCTGTGCTTTCTTTTCCTATCATGAGAATGATGCAATTTATCTTCTTTCTCATTTTTAAAACTTAAAAACTTATGTTTTTTAAAACATATTTGTAATCAGTGTACTTGTCTTTTTTTTTTGTTGTTATGGCATGTCATTAATCTGAAGCTTAAATGTATCTACTAGGTTGGTATTTTGGATGTCAATTTTTACATCTTATTCTAGGTTTTGATTTTTAATTTCAGAATTACATCTGCCTTCCTTCACTGAATATAGTTTTACTAGATGAGGTTGAAGATGATGACAATGATAATAACCATGACAATAAGCATTATAGAACACATGACAAATAGGACAAATTTCTGGTAAGCATCCATTTGAGTGGAATAAAGATTGTGACTGTGTCTCCATGATTCCAAACAAGTTTGACTCTTCTAGTGTCTGGCATTGGTATGCATGGAGACACAGGGGTGAGTGAACATGAGAAACTCATTCCTCTGCATGCAGAGGGCATCTGCCTCCATAAATGAACTGAGCATGCACAGTTAAGAGGAGAGCACTCACCGTCTTGGTCGTTACCTGAGTCAGCTGGAGACTTGCTTCTGCGCATAGGACCAGGACTCTTGGCTGAATTTTTCTGAGGTGTTGGGGAGGCCTTTGGGCCAGCTGTGGCTGATGGGTTTCCTTTCATGACTCGGCATTCTGAGGCAAAAGAATGTAGACAGCTTAGTAGAGAGTAAAATTCAGGCATGGCATGTTACTGGCCTTGGGAAATTGGAATAATCACCATAGACCAAAGCACTCAAATATCTCAGGACTAAAAGGTGGTGCTCATTGTTTGTAGGAACTATGGCATGGGGAAGAGATGCATGAGAAAAATTTCAAAAGTAACCTATGTGTTTAAATTACTGGATTATAGTATGAGGGCAAGACTTCAAAAATAGGTCAAGTAGGTAGTAATTCAACACAATCATTTGAGAAGTACTGTATAGGAGTTTTAGAATAGAACCTATAAGTACAATGTTTAATGAAATCCCTTGTGGTAGACTTTGAAATCTTGAAGGTCATAGCAACACAGATAAAACATCCATGAGTAATTTAAAAAATGGTTAGGAACTTATTAATTAGTATTTTTATATATCACACATCATATTCACTTACCTTATGGTTGTCATGTCATTCTACATAAATAAGCTCTACCCCCAGCACCATCTTGGATTTATAAAGTTCCTTCAATTTTTAATGCATATTACCATAATCCCTTATGTTTACTTAAGGAATAAATGAGCCAACAATGACTCTTCCACTCATAATTTGAGAATACTCATGGGCTGTAGGTGAGTCTGCCAAATATTCCTGCATTTGCTCCAGCTCCAGTCTGACACATTTAGAGCACTCTTTCTAAGCATACCACTCAGCATCCCCTGCTATGATAATTTTGGGCACTGACAATGTTAATCTATTAGGAAAATCATTATGCGCATTTTGCTGTTCAGAGTACAAAACCTTAATTAGGACTCTTGCTTAGGGCCATAAAGCAAGACCATAGAAGAACAAGACTAAAAGCTGTCTCCTGAGTCCCGGCTAGTTAGTGTTCTTTCCACTATGCTTTTCTCAGTCTTGTGCTATGTATGATACAAAAAGTGGACTAAAATAACTGGGTAAATATGATAGGCAGGGAAGTTTTTCCTTAAATAGCTACTTACTGCCTCCTCGTTAAGGTACACTGAAATTTAAATGGTAAACTAAGCTTTTTAGAAAACCAATTGAAGAGGAAAGCTCATTTTTATTTATTTTACCTCTTGTTTTGTCTGGTAACTTTTAGTGATCTTTACTCAGATCTGGATATGTAGAAAGCATAGGAAATTGGACACAGTATGAATTTGTTTAGCTATTTTATGGCCATTTGCCATAAAAACAAAGAGAACATAGAATAATGTCATTTTGTTAAGGTCTTTGTCACTTGAACTATTTATAAAGTATATATTAGTAAAATTCCTTTTGGTTTTCTTGTATTTTATTCCTCTTAAATGGAAAATGTTTTGAATCTATCTTTTCATTATATCACACCCTAATCCCATTACTGTTTGTGCTAATTTACATTTAACTTGCAGAGTACCTGAAGCTTAGAATTAAGTAAAGTAAATAGAAGGAAAAATGCTCAAGTTCTTGCTGAGATAAAGGATCCTCTGGAATCTTGAATCACAAACCAGGGAGAATAGGACAGCAGGCCCAAAGGTGTGAAATGGATTTGATATTAATAATATAGTACAAAAATCTTTCTAAAATGGGTCTATTAACATGGGCCAAATAAGCTAGAAGATGTTGAATAAAAAATGTGTATGTACAACTTCCAGGTTCTCAATCCAAATGTTTCTTCCTGTGGTCTGATGGTTCTTGTTAGCTCATGTGACATAATATGTGGTTCAAGAAATATGGTTACTATTGGGACAGATGGTAAATTTTATTGAGTTTGGAGGCTGGGCCTCTGGGACACCCAGTCAACCTCTTGCTTAATGATCCATATATCTAAATGCACAGGAGAAACACTAATATTTGCCCTTAAGGAACTATGTTTGAATGCTGTCCAGGCCACATAAATCCATGGAAATCATAAAGAATAAAAGAGCAGAGAACAATTGGACAATAAAACCCAATGATTCTACTTACCATTTTCATCCAGAGAAAAGTCATCTTGAGCATAGCGAAATTTTTCAGGACCACAGGCAATAAACACATCATCATCACCAAAGAAATCATGGAGACAGGTTACCTATGGAGAAAGTAGAAACACTGGATTGATATTTGATGTTCTTGTGACAATGAACACAAACCATTTTAGCAAACAAAAAAGCTTCATCTCTAAGCCGTCATCTCCAGTTTCTGAGAATTTTTTTTTTTTTTTACTCAAAACACATAACACACTCACAGTTGGCATCACAGTTCATAGTGAGTGAAGATGCAGGTGTCATTGTCTCTCTGCATGTCATGTGTGGTTCCTTGTTTCCATCAGACCAAGAGTAAGATTGAGACCCTGTCCAAATGGAGGACCATGTCCTCTGAAGGAAAATCAGCCAACAGATGGCCCTATGAACGTTACCTTTTCTCAAAGAGAGACTACTCCTGGCCCAATTCTAGGGCCAGAAGTCTAGGCCAAGGAAAATTAGAAAGATTTCCTGCAACTTCCGGTGGATGGATCTTTCAGTTAACCTAGAGGTGGAAATCATTCCCTTCAAGTGTATCTGTTCTAAAAGAAAGGCATCATTTCACATACTTACACATTGGATTTTTATTAAGAATGAATCTAGAACTTGAGAGTATCACAGAATAACTTTCTTCACTGAGAAACCAGGAGGAGGAAACAGTGCTGACCAGTTGAAACTTCATCAAGAGCAATGAGCCACATAAGTTTGAGTCCTTTCTGGTAACCTTTCCTGCCCTTTGGCACCTTACATATTGCTGCTTCTTCACAATAGAGACAGTATCTCCAACCCCTTCTCTGCACAAAGAAATGAGGATCCTTGGGAATGTACACAGCTCCCTTTTATCTCCCCACTTCTCAGCTTCCCTAATTACATCTGCTAATTAGTTCAGCACATCAGGGAAACCCCAAGAGAAACCATGGAGTCAAAATATGTTTATCCTACTCCTTATCTTGTAAGTGTTCAAAGCATCTAAACATTCTACATTCCCTATTCAGGTTGCCAGCAATGGCTTTCCAAAGGCACAGCTTGCTGGGTACAGCCAGCAATATGTTACATTTGAAAAATGTTTATATTAATAACACCATCCCATTCCCAATGTCTATAGAGTCCCTCTTCTCTCAGCAAAGATGATTGCAAGTTTTATACAAAGAGAAAGATGCTTAAAGATGATCCCCCATTGTCTCAGTCTTCGAATCAGCTATGAAATGCTGAGAGAAGGAAGAGAGACTTGGAAAACTGCCAAGGTTACTCTTATTAAGTTTTTTCCCAGTCTAGAGTCCCAACCTCATCAAACAGACTAACGCATTTCACAAACCCACTTGTTCAAAATCATGTAATGACAACCAGAACTACCACTGGTTGAAAATATACTCTGTGACAGCATTCTTCTGAGTAATTCCAAATTCACCATCTTATTTTACCCTTACAACAAACCATAGAACTTGCTATTCTTGTTATCACTGTTTTAGAAATGAGAAACCTGAGAGCCAGAGACAATAAGTAAATTGTCCCGGTGGAAACAACAAATCCAAGCAGATCCATTTGACTATGAAACCTGTGCTTTTACACAAATATTTGAGTACTAGAGAAATGGAGATTAATAAGACTCAGTCCATGATTTCATGAAGCTCACAGTCCTATGGAGAAAGTTGCAACAAAATATTTCAATTTAGTCTCATGAGAGGAGAATCTCTAGGTGATGTGGGAGCTATTGTTAATCACATCTAAGTGATCCAATATGGATCCTGCCTATTAACCAGATAGAATTGGTACAGGCAACAATCTAACAACAAGTTACACGATTTGAGTCCTGCTTCAGACCCTCTGTCAGCACCCTAGGCCTTAGTCCAATAAATTCTGGAGTCCTTAACATTGATACACTAAGTGTCCGCATTGTTTATCCCCTGCTACCTCCCTGAACCTGAAGAACTCTGCCATATCTTCTTGTACAAGGTATCCCTGAACCTGACTAGCTGCCTTTATTTTGGCTTATCAGTGGAAGGAAGCCTCACCCTCTGCTAGCTGTCACTAGGAATCAATACTTTGTTTCTACAATACATCCATTTCTGTTACACTCTACTTACACTGGTAGCGAAGTTATGAAACAATGATAATTTAGCTAAGAGTGTTACTGCTTCAACTTCTTCTGCCAAGAAGGTATGGAGGAACATTCAGAAGCTTTGTAAAGTTTAAAAAGATTGAAATCAAGAATAAACAATTATAGCAGAAAACAGATATTAGCATTTAGAGAATCTGAAAGGTAACAAAAACACACAAATTTATGAACAAGATAGGAGAAATGCATAAATTCAGAAACTATTCTTCATAGTATTATGCTAAAACTTAGATGAAAGGAATGATTTTTACATTCCTGTCACATATTATAATATCCTTTTATCGGACAGCAAAACCTTACTGATTGATCAAGAGTTGCTCCTATAGTGACTCACCCTCTATCTATACTTTCCACCTCCACCCAGGCTTTGCAGAAAGGTTTTGGATAACTCTTCCTTTGAGCAATGTTTAAGAAAGGGAAAGTCCCCTAATGCTTCTGACAAACTCATGATGTTGTAACAGGCTTCACACACATTCATGTTGCAATCCAGCTATTCAATATTAATGGTACTGGAGATGGAACCTAGGACATCACACATGCTAGGCAAGCACCCTACCACTGTGCTACATACCCAGCTCTCTCACCTCACATTTTACTGGCTCCCAAATATACACAAATTCACATTTTGTATGTGATTGCCTGGCTGTCCTAGATATTTTGGATATTGAGACACAACATCCATTTCTGTTACAGGGCTGGGAAAATAGAATTTTCTGTGTCTTAAATATGAGAAACCCAAGGTGAAAAATGTCCAAGTAGCCCAAGGAAGCAGAGGTAGCTCATAGCAGAGTTGGGGCTAGCATTTAGATGCCTTGCTTCAATTCAGGACAAAGCAATTCAGTTGCCTTAGAGAACATGCCTTCCTAAAGCACTGACTTTAAAGGCTTATAGACAGCCTAAACAGGAGAGCCTTCATTTTCCTATTCAGTGTCCAATATATATTAGAACATTTGACATGGTTGAAAAAACAAGCTTCTTTATCAATCGTATTTTTAATTTATGGAAAAGGAAATTTCTGTTCATTACTTACAACTGAGTATGTAATAGAGAAGGAAGAAAAGGAAAAGGAGAATTAAAAGAAAGACAATGAAGAAGAAAAAGAAGGCGATGAGGAAGAAAAGAATGAAGTACAAGAAATAATTCCCCTGGAATTCACACTTACTTAATGCTTGCTTTTACAAATAGGAGGGGGCTGAGAGACAGAAGGAGGTGAGAGGGGGAGGAGAAAGGGCCGAAAAAAGAATTAAGATGCTTTATGTACATGTAGCAACTTCTCATGAGGAATGCAATCATTATGTACTGCCAACGTATACTAGTAAAAGAAAATAAACTCTATGGAGGTGATGTGATACAAAAGTCATCTTTTCTTACACTGCAAGTGCATGATTTTACAAATTAGATTTTGAGAAAAAATCTCCATCATGAGTTGACAAAAGTAGTAAATACAATAAGCAGTCTGGTGCCAATGACAGCATCCTTAGAGAGCAAAGGTCTTGCTGACATCAGCTTCACTATGAATCAACTGGATATTAAGTCAGAGAAAGGAACAGGAAAGCATGACATCTATCTTTATAATTAATCAAGTGCCAGCACAAAATCAATAAAACCAACTCATGTTAAGATGGAACCATTAACTCAATGGTCTTTAAAAAAAAAAAGTATTGTGCATTACTGTGAACCATATATTATACAGATTGTCCAGTGACTTATACGCTGAAGTACAAATTAGAAAATGGAGACAACAGATCACTGTCTGGCAGCAGTTTGAGTCTGTTGGCCTCAAATGGAAAACTCATTCTGTGACTTGATTTAGGCTTGATTACATTCTCTTCCACATATTACAGATACTGGCAGTAGGTTCTTGTACATATCTGCTTCTAGTAGATTCTACATTTCACTTACCTAATTAGTCAGAAAGAAATGTTACCTGAAGAAGTAAAGTCATACACATAAACCTACAAGACACACTTTCAACATGTAAAACATTTTTACTGAAAGTTCAATTCTACCAGTACTGAAGCAAAGAGAACTATGTAAGAAAGAAATGCATAGTAAAAGGCCCCTGTCTTCAAAGAGTTGACAACATAATAAGCAAGTTAGAACAACATAAATAATTAGAACACAGAGCAAGCTATTGTTGGCACTACTGTGGAGACACAAAAAGCAAGGAGAAATACAGAAGACAAAGGGAAAAATTTTAATCATGAGAATTGGGGGAGACTTTACAGAGAAGATGACACAAAAACTGATTCTAAGAGAATGGATGGGGCAGAGCCTGATAAAGAAAGGAGGTATTTCAGGCCCCTACATGAACAAAGGCAGAGAGGCAAAAATGTGCCTTTTTCTTAACAGCCCTGCACAAAAAGAGATACATGTTGTTAACTATTAACAGACAATCTGATCCTCCAATGCTATGTGCACACAATTTCCCAGATCCATCTGCCAACCTTCTGCACAGACAAAACACAGACAAAACTGCCTACTGATATAATTCAGAGTGAAGAGGAGGGCAAGGAGAGTCTGCGGGGAGGGACAGCCCCAGTGGTGAGCAAGAGGAAACCCCTGTGGCAAGGAAGACAAACCATACCGAATTCTCAGTGTTGCCAACAGTGTGTCCTACCTGTAGAGAGTGGCTGGCAAGCTTCATAAAGTGAGTTAATAGAAGAGGCAGTAAACATTACAGATGGAGCTTTTTCTAAAAGTTACTGCCACTCTCATTTTGGAACATTTATGCCTGCCAGTTCTGGTCTGGCTCCAGTTAGAGGCTGGCCTCAAGTTGGCTTGGTGAGCTCTGGCTATGTTTCTGAGACAATTCTGGCTTTCCTTTCAAAATGATCTTCTTGGGGGTTATCTTGAAGGTTTTCTTGTAGGTTTTTCACGACAGTATTTTGCCTGAGTAAGCAGCTCCTTTGTTCTGAGGTGCTTCTTTCTTTATTCAGTGTCCTGCACATC